GCCATTTACGTGGCTGAAGTCATCGGCCGTTTCCACGTTGTTTCATTAATGAGGTAGTTGCCTTTAAGGACACCAGCAACGACGCGTGGTTGGAACTGAACCTCGCATTGCCAGTCAAAACGAGGAAAACACGGCAAACCGGATACGGACTGTGCGACTGCTACGATGAGAATCCGTGCCCTGCCGGTTCGCCCGGTCCGATCGGAGCTCCAGGGTTACATGGACAGCCAGGTAAGCAAGGAGCGAAAGGCGTGAAAGGACGACCCGGAATAGTGCCGTACATTCCCGCCACCGAACGAGCATCGTGCCGTATATGTCCGCCCGGACAGAAGGGGACGCCTGGATTACAGGGAGCTCGCGGTCCACAGGTAAACGATTCGTTCTTTACAAAGTACTTGAAATAAACTAGTGAATTCGTAGGGACCACGCGGGCCAAAAGGACCACCTGGTCCAAACGGCCATAATGGAATGGTAGGATTTCCAGGACCACCTGGCCAACCAGGCAAGCAAGGACCAGTGGGAAGAAGTGGAATCAGAGGAGAATGCGGAAAAGACGGCGTGAAGGGCGTGAAAGGATCAGTAGGGCAGCAAGGCATACCTGGAAGACCTGGATTGCAAGGTCCTCCCGGACGTCCGGGCAACGCAGGACAGAACGGTCCCATGGGAGAGCCGGGGGAACCTGGCCCACAGGGTGAACCGGGGAAACCGGGCTATGTAGGTGTGCGTGGTGCTCGTGGCCCACCCGGAATTCCAGGTAGAGACGCTCAGTACTGCTCTTGCCCCGACCGTTCACCACGACCGCTCAGAAAGCACTAGTCGAACGACGGCGTTTTCTGACAACTTTCAAGCCTTGACTCTACCCATGTCTATCTGTTGGCTGTAACTGAACATGAACTGTCATAGCAAAAGTAAAATTTATCATTTAACTCTGTGGTCGAAGTTGACATTTGTTGCACAAATGAAGCTACACGTTTAAACTTAAGTTTTTTGAACCATTTTTGATTCCGGGCTGGTTGTTTAAAAATTAAGTGTTATCAGCACGACTCTATGGAACGTGGCTTTATCACATTATCACGGCAATGAGAGATCGATTGGGAGGGGTGGAGGGGGGGGGGTAGTAAGTTTACTGGCAATGTTCGATCGAACAGTCATTACGTCCAAAACCATTGCATCGGAATACAGTCAGTGTTCCAGGAGAAGTAAATATAATTTTGCTGGAGCATGTTATGAATATATTTTACCAACTACTCTTGCTACTGACGGTAGATGACCGTCAAATTCTCGACAAATTATCGCGACCACGGGTCCAATAATGCCCAGATATACCGTTGAGGAACATTTGGTGTATAGGATGGCCGCCTTCAGTCCTCGGTCCTCAAAGGGAGTCAGATGATTGATTGCTACAATGATGACCATTTCTCAATGCTGCCAATATTATTTGGAAAAACGTTCCCCATCTATAGCAAAATTTGATGGAATAAGCAATACTTAAGTCGGTTTACCCAATGATGAATGCAGGTAATGGTCGAATTGGAACCCTTAGATCCTTAAAGACAATTTAATCGCCTACCAAGAAGATGTGGTAATTTCATCGTTTGGTCACAGAATCACTGTAGTGGAGAAAAGCATGAACGAACGAAAAATGGACGAACTGTTGCAGCCGGCATCGCTTTCCTGACTGTTGGATAATAGTCGATTAAGTAATCAAGCATCAAAGTTCCTTGAAGCATCCTAGACCAGGAAAGATATTACTAAGGTGAAGTAGATTGTAAAGGTCATCTGATTCTGAAGCAGAGGAGGGCCCCTTCACGTGGCAAAGACGGTGGTGGCCTAAATATTCTAAAGATTCAGTAACATACCGCACGCGTCTTGAAGTTAAGTGCTGCAATCATAAAAATGATTATGGAGTTATTTCTCAAATATCGGATTAATGCATACAATTATTCCTATTTTCATAGCTATGACGTTCATTTAACTATTACAACGTCAACAGGGGCTACAACTTGTGCTGACTATTGTACTCGACAGTCAGCAATCACGTAGGTCAAAGGGAATTGCAACCATAAGGGGCGCTTGCACTGAACGGCATGACCGGTCTTCTCACCTATGCTGGTCTAATCGTACGGAAACAGCGTGCACCTATTTCCATTGTTCGCAAGTCAGCGAATTGCTGTCCGTTTCTCGGCTGGATGCCCTAAAGCAGAGTGACGTAAATTGCATATTTAAGGGGATTGGCGATTAAGCAAATTTTCCTCATTTCTCGATTCGAACCGGCTCCGCTGCTCTTTGAAGAATGCCGACTTCTCGCCACTGTACCAGTACAGCCCCCCCCCCCAACGTAACGCGAATGCAAAGTGATCTTGGATTATACC